AAGTTGGTTTTAGTAATTGTGACCATGGAACCATCTTTGATTGTTATAAAACCCATCTGGTTCATTAATATCCTTTGGAGAAAGAAAGCTGCCATCCTTACCTGATCTGATTGACATGTGAGTACAGACCCACATCAACATGATTGAATCTTAACTGCTCTCAAAGTTGATTAGTGAAGGACATTAAATGTTGGCCTTATCATCAACACTAACAGAAATATCTCATGAAATGACAAAGCGAAAAAGTGGCTCAGTGCTCTGGATGCAGAAAACTTTGTGGGCTCTGACGACCTCCCAGCTGTAGTACTCAGAATCATAAAATTGTTACAGTATACAAGGAGATCATTTGGCCATCATGCTTTTCAGGTGAGCAAATCTGAAATTATGGCTCCACAACTAGCCCCACCCATAGGCAAGAACCATGCTATCATCTACCTGACAACATGGAACATAATCCAGCTTTATCCTGATCACAAAAAGCAGGACAATCTAATTAGGCCTTGACCATCTGCAAAGTGATGAAAAGTATTATTGCTAAACAGCACTTACTCAACAACAACCTACTCATTGATGCTCAATTTCTGTTACACCAGGGTCGCTGAACTCTGAAACTTATGGCTACTTTGTTCCAAAGATGAACAAAGGATCTTAATACAAAAGGGAAGAGTAGATGCACTTAAAATCAAGACAGTATTTGCGCAAGTGAGGCATCAATAAGCTCAAGCAAACATGGAGGCAATGACCGTAACTCCATACGATATGGGACTGATGATATTTTGACTATGTGATTGGTGCATTTTAGTTACCGAAGGATTTCTCCCTCACTAAAGCGAGATGACTGGCGGTGAGGCAGGGTGGTCACTATTCCTAAGGCAGAGAAGGTCGAAAAGGAGAGCCCTTCATGCTAAGCTTAGATGGTGCATGAATTGAACCCACACTGATGGCTACTCTAAGACATGTGAGCAGATTTAAACCATCTGAAATATCTGTGTTGCTCCAAACTGGCCACTTGAACATCCCCAATTTTTTTTCAATCCACTATTAGTGGCTGTGCCTTCAGTTATCTGGATCATGAATTGTCTTCCAGCGCCACTCTGTATTTCTACCTTTGTCTCCTCCTCTAAGAAGCTCCTTAAAACCTGTCTTTTGGCCACTAGTTCTAACGTACTTTTTGCATCTCAACGTTCGATAGTGCTCTTGTGAAACGCATTTGGCTAAGCACGGTGGCTCAGTGGTTAGCACTACTGCCTCACAGCACCAGGGACCGCGGTTCGATTTCACCCTCGGAGTTTGCATTCTCCCCGTGTCTGCATGGGTTTCCACTGGGAGCTCCAGTTTCCTCCCACAGTCCAAAGATGTGCAGACTTGGTGGATTGACCATGCTAAATTGCCCGTAGTGTTCAGGGATGAGTCAATTATGAGGATAGGTTCTGGGTGGGATGCTCTGAGGGTCGTTGTGGACTTGTTGGGCCGAAGGGCCTGTTTCCACACTGTAGGGATTCTATGATTCTCCTACATGGAAGGTGCTATTTAAGTGCATGTTAGTATTGCTGTTGTCCATTAAAACCTCACATGATTTTGAACACTACTATCAAATCTCCCTTTGATCTTCTCTATTCTAAGGATTCTCTTGTCTCAATTTAAAATTGGAGGCAGTTATCTCAGCTGACTGAACAGTTGGTTTGCAATGCGGAATAATGCGATCAGTGTGGGTTCAATTCACGCACCATCTGAGTTTAGCATGAAGGGATCTCCTTTTCGATCTCCTCTACCTTAGGAATAGTGACCACCAACCACCGCACCCACCCCCAACCACCCAACCCTCCACCACCACCGCTCCCCCGCCCGTCACCGCCAGTCATCTCGCTCTAGTAAGGGAGATATCCTCCGTTAACTAAAATGCATCAAACACATAGTCAAAATATCGTTAGTCCCATAACGTTAGTATGTTAGCCACAGAGTTGCAATATGTTTATATTGCCACAGCATGTGAGCACAATATAAATACGTCAGCTATCATTACAAAACAACAAAATAATGTCACCTGCGTAGCGGAAATAGAATAAGTTGCAAACCATGATATATCAATGCTCTAACAGCAGAATCATGACGCTAATCAGGTAAATACAGTATAATAAATAATGACCTACATAGTAATGAAAAAAATTGAATGGTGTCATTTATTGCTGAAATGATGTCAGTCACATAACCAAGTATTGTATTTGGAAATTTCAATGATAATGATCCAAGTTCTAAAACATTACATTTTTTCATAAGGAAACCAGGATTACATAGTCTATGTAGCGTAATTTCAGTCACATGACGCTATTCTGTCGGAATTTCACTCACTCAATGATCCGCTAATCGCGTCATTCCGCACAGTCAGGCCTTACACACTTGCACAATATTTTCTTTTTTATTGTACAGTCAAGAAATAAAATCCACATGCCTTACTGTCCGTCAATCCGATGCAATTTATCTTAATAGATAAAAAAATGCAATAAGAATTGAAGTTTACAAGTGAATGTACAATACGAGGCAGTGATATTAAGAAGCTGCATTCCTGGTCTTGTGTCTTCAGTTCGAGAGGCCGTTGTAATCTGTGTTCTTTACTGGAAAGCCAAATCGCCCATACTGCAGTGGCTGCGCTGATTTCAATCATTGGTGATTATTTTCTAACGACTGAGTGTGGAAATGAGTTAGTGAATCGGAGAACGGGTGTGAACACGATCTGATGAATAAACCGGTGCAAGAGTGGGGCGTGTAAGAACCAGTCTATGATTGAGACAGAGCGCATTAGACAATGAGAGAGGCAGTTAACGGGTGACAAAATGAATGAGACACTAAGAAAGAGAGAGATTATTGGACAGAGACAATGAGAAGAATGAATCAAGCATTGAATCAGTGGGTGTGAAATTCTGAATGGTCCAAAAAGCAAAATATTAGATTCATAACACAAACAGTGAATGAGGCAGTGCGAGTGAGTGGATAAGTGAGGGGTGAGTGACAGCCTGAGTGGATGAATGAAGGTATGATTAGCACTGAGAGTGTGGGTGAGACTTGGTGAATGAGTGAGTGGTGTGAGTGAGTGAGGGAGGGATGCTGTAAATGAGTGAAGGTGTGATTGAATGAGACAGAGTGAGAGTGTGTGAATGGGAAAGTATATTCCAGTGAAAAGGAAGGACTGTAAGAAAACGGGTAATCTGCCATGGATGTCTAAAGAAATAAGGGAGGGTATCAAATTGAAAGAGAAGGGAATACATAAGATAGAAGTAGAGAGGATGTTTCCACTGGCAGGTGAAGCTAGGACAAGAGGGCATAGCCTCAAGATTAAAGGGAGCAGATTTAGGACTGAATTGAGAAGGAACTTCTTCACCCAGAGGATTGTTAATCTATGGAATTCCTTGTCCAGTGAAGTAGTTGACGCTACTTCAGTAAACGTTTTTAAAGATAAGGTAGATTTTTTTTGAACAATAAAGGAATTGAGGGATATGGTGAGAACGCGGGTAAGTGGATCTGCGTCCACGAAAAGTTCAGCCGTGATCTTATTGAATGTCGGAGCAGGCTCGAAGGGCCGGACGGCCTACTCCTGCTCCTAGTTCTTATGTTCTTATGTTCTAGACTGAGTGAGGGAGATCGTGAGGCTCTGAGTGTGACCGCGAAGTGACTGAGTGAGTGAATGTGTGCGTGCGTAAGTGAGGCTGTGATTTAATAAGAAAGGCAGTGAGTAGGCGAGACTGCGAGCGTGCTGGACTGTGTAGGAGTCTGAGTGGGAGAGAGAGGTTCTTAATTAGAGAAAGTGTGAATGGGGCAGTTGTAAGTTTGTGACAGTGAGATAGTGAGTTACTGAGGGAAATTATGACCAGCTGAATAGGGCTGAGTATGTGGGGCGGATGCAAGTACGAGGGTGGAAATAGTCATCGGGTCTTGTGGTATAGTGGCGAGACTATTAATCCAGAGACACGGTTAATGCTCTGCGGACTTGAGTTCAAATCCCACAATGGCACGTTGTAGAATTTGAATTCAATAATAGTGATGACCATGAAATTAATGCTAATTGTCAGGAAAAACCCATCAGGTTCTGTAATGTCCATACGGAAGGAAATCTGCCATCCTCACCCGGTCTGGTCTACGTGTGACTTCAGACCATGGCAATCTGGTTGACTCTTAACTGCCCTCTGGGCAATTAGGGATGGGCGGCTGGTCTAACCAGTGACTCCCACATCCCATCAGTGAATATAAAAGAGATCTGACAGTACCCGTGGAGAGCCGAGCAGATTTTCAGAGCTTGGTCTGAAATGTTCACCTCTCTCTCTCTACAGATTTCTCTCTCTACAGATGCTCTTGGAGTCGCTGACTGTTTCTAAGAAGTGTGGGGAATTGGGGAACATCTATTGAACCCTGAGGGATGGGAGGATGATTTCTAACCCCTCTCACGCACACACTCAATCAAAAACTTCTGAAACACTGGCGACAACATTAGCAACGCGGTGTTTATGAGAGATTACATCAAACGAAAAGTGAGGACAGGATTGTCCCCCGTAATCCGGAACTGGGAGATCTGAGAGTTGACAGGGAGAACTGCCTGAGAATCCCAAGTGAAAATAAGGTCATAGGAACTCAACAAGAATTTCCCATGCTGGTAACTGAAATTGCCTGTCGTGACTGGATATAAACTGTAGGCAATGGAACCGGCTTTGAGCGAGATTCCTCTCCAGCTCCCATACGCTCAGCAACAGGACGGGGTCAGCGCGGATGACAAGTGACTCATTCAGCTCGAAAACTGAGCAGAGCACAGATAGCACCCACCCCCAAATCCAGCAGCAACATCCTCCGCTTGTTACGCAGCAGGAAGCTGCCCACTGGGGAAGGTGACTGGAGACAAGCGCAGCGCAGTCTAGCATCTCATCTCGACCAGTTCGCTCAGCGGACCCAGAGCTCTCCTCTGAGCGCTGCCGCCTTCCCTACCGTGCTCTCATGTCAAACGTCGGATGGTCGGATCTGGCCCCACGGCTCCGGCGACTCACCCTCTGTCCCCACTGCTCGGAATCAGCAGAAAGGCAGCGGCACTCGCCGGCTCGTTTTGCCCCGAGGCATTCGCTCAGAGCTGAGGGTAGTTTGAATCAGAGAGCATTGGACAGGAGGTGTGGGGAGGGGGGCGAAATCACCGAGAAAATAAGCCACGGCGGGAAGTAAGGGACACTCAGCACTCACCCAACTCTGGGTGGGAAGTTAACGCAAGAACTTCACTGGGATCTAGCCCGGAAACGGAGTCTCAGGACTACAAACTCCAGCTCTAACAGAAGGAAGAAGTGTGCAGAACTAGAAGACCATCAGTTACCGAAAGACTTTCAAACGTCTGAAGTGTTTTTTTCTGACCAACGCATAGAGAGAGAGAAACGTTCTGAGAGAGAGAAAGAAACAATAGTAGAGACTCTAACGGATGTTTTCGGGGCTACAGGACAAGTGTATTTATTATGTCAGTAACAGTCGAGTCCAATAGGCGAGATGAAGGAAAAGTCCAAAAATGCCGCGAAGACAAGAAGAGAAAAGGAAAATGGGGAATTTTACGAACTGGCTAAGTTGCTGCCTCTACCATCGGCCATCACCTCCCAACTGGACAAAGCTTCAATCATCAGATTGACCACCAGCTACCTCAAGATGAGAGCTGTCTTTCCCGAGGGTAAGCAATGGCTGAGAGAACACTGAAGCAAGCAGTTTAATTGAGAATCTGGTTGGTCAGTGTTCACCTTGCTTGGTGTTCTATTGTTCCTTAAAGTGACTTTTCCAGTTGAAACCACGACCCTTCTGTTAAAAAAAAAACTCATTTTGTTTTAGCTTAACTGTTGTAAAAGTTCAGTTTCCATCGAAAGTTGAACATGTTCACATTCAAACCACAGCTGTGTTGCAGGATATATAAAAGTTGGCAGGGAAAATCCAGGAATTAATATTTTTAAAATGTGAATACGAAAGCATTGGCCTCACTTCTAATTGTATACTAGAGACTGTAGTTTTATTATAGCGAGTGTTATAGATTATGAATCATTTCCTACTTAAAATTCGGTCATTTTTCTGCACATTGTGCAGTCCTGCCTGAGTTTATTCTGATTGTGTAACCCATCCGATACTTTCCAAGTTAATGTTGTGCGCTGACGGCATTAAATAATATCCTGTGTAATTTCATAGCGAAACAGCCTCTCAATACACTCTGCACTGTTCTCACCACTTAGCGCTCTGGCTACTATAGTGTGTGATTAATGATTGTGCTTATCTAACCAAATCTAAACTAATTTCTCCCTATCCCCCTCACTTTGTGTGCGCGTGTGTGTGTGCCTGTGTGCAAATGCTCAGAGCTTGCAATAATGCCTGGGCTATACACAGAGCCACGTGATTGTCGTGTGTGAACGGGCCTGAAACAGAGAAAAATGGATGTCTCCGTATCCATGAAAATCTCGGTTTATAGTCTCGGGCTCATTTGGGTTTTCATTTGGTTTTGGGGCCGCAGATTGAAGACTGGAGAATTCTTGTTAATTGGTGAATTATGTCACTGTGTGTTTGTGTACGTGTGTGCTCATACACATTTCCCTCCGCTTAGATTTGTAACTGGAGAATTTTCTCCCCAAATAAATATCTCAATTTCTTCCAGAAATCATCTACAAGCGCTTTAGTAGAAATACCGGCTTACATATTAAAGCAAATAGAAATCAAGCGCTTGCTTGTGTAATGCAAACGTGCCGTAGAGGTGAATGCTTTGTTCGCTCAGCGTAGTCCGCTCAGATGAGTGTATAAAAGAATGCACGTGATTCAGTAGCAGGTTCCTTTTGAAAGCCTTTACTAAGGTCAGAAAGAGAGGCGCCAATCTGCACTCCGCCCCAGAACTGATGCTTTGCTCTCGGCCTACTGAACGAGGCACCGCAGTCTATGAGCACCACGCCATACAGGTGCACTTCCTTCGATGGAAAATGTGCACCAACTAAAAAAAGAAATACCATTCTTTACCGCAGGAGATTGTACCAAGTTCAGCGAGATTGTGAACACCGTTCAGAAATACGAATTAAGCAAAGTTAAATATGTCACCGGTATTTTCCCGAAGAAATATCATTCACTCTCGGGTAATATATAAATTGAAACTTCTATATATCAGAAAGCACTCTTTCGTAGAATAAAATGAATATTTTGCCGAATAAAAGCCGGAATTATACCGTGATTTAAGTAGAAGGTGTAAGTAACAGGACTGTCTCTGTACGGCTCCCACGTTCTTAGAATTCTACAGTTAGAATCGCCGTGTTATGATACAACAGCTCAACATTTTGCAATATATATGAAGCACAGGTCGGATACGACTAATCTCAAATAGGATCAGGTGGTGATTTGTTACCGAGTCATTGTGTACATTGACATCGCAATAAAATCCTGCGCCCTAAAATTTTCATTAAATCCTGGTTAATGTTCGATGAATAACTAAATAAACTGACAAGCCCCGCTCAGTGATATATGTGACCGATCTTGCTCAGTGTGAAATAGGGGCTCGAATGTGACAGGATGCAGTGGACCAAGTAAAGGTAAAACCACAACCGTCATTTCAGATATACAACAGAGATTGAGGGACCTCCACCACACCAGCACAGTGTCAGAAAGAACGGGTTTTCTGAGCTTATCTTGCAAAGACTATAAAGAGTGTTTAGAAGTCCATGTCTAAACTACCTATTAATCTACAACTGCGGTTTAATCCTTAAAATAACCCAATATTTAATACTATTAAATGCAGGTTTCCATGATGGAAGCATTAATGATTTTTAGAAAGCAGGGCCCTTTTGTTTAGATTCGACGCTGTATACATCACCCCTAACTAACAATACCTCTTTATATAGGTTTTAACAATCTACAACGTCCCTTCTGATGTACCCTTTCGGTCTCACAGCCGTTCCCCTTAAAATGTGGAGAACAATGTCATTCATTTATTATGAAGTAGCAGCCTGGAAAAAGTAATGGCAGGGGCTGCAAAGTGCAATGCGAAAACAAGACGCATCTTTCCAAAGGTATGACACCGGTCAAACATAGCTCATCTTCGTCTCAGATCATTTGGTTATGTAAGAGAGAAACCATGTTTCAGCCTTTTGCAGGACTCTTCGTATTCTTTCCTATTCAATTAAATATCGAAGATTTTTCTACTTAGCTTGTGGCTAGATTCACAGGGAGATTATCAAATTATTAAACCAACAGCGTTCCGAGCCACAAAATTGTACGGTCAGAGCAGCGGTCTGCTATTGATGTAGTCCTTTGTTAAAGCATTTCTTACACCCCATTGCCAGCAGCCTGGTTCATTCGCCGAGTCAGTTCTTCACACCCCTTCGTTAAACAGCTACTAAGCGCTCAGTTTTGCAAATTAAGAGAGCAGCAGTTAAATCGATTTAATGTAGATATTTAAACTGCTTTGTAATCCAAAGAGGACGGGCGAGATGTAATATTTATAAGATGAGACAATTATCAATTTATTTTCAGTTTATGAGACGAATGTGCCGCTGCATTTTGCATTCTGACCCATTCTTTTTGTTACGGAAAGGCACCGGGTAATGATTCTATTAACGAATGCAGCAGCTATATCAACTATATTTTTTATAGTTACGCAAGATTTTATAATCGGCCACATATAAGTTGCATACGATACAAAACAACTGAGCACTATTTTAATCGGGTCAATTCATTTAAAAGTGGACAGTACACTGCACTATGACTCAGGGAGGAATCTGAAATTATCACTGTCAAATGAAACCATCCTTCCAAAGGAACTATAACCGCACAGAAAGTGGCCTCTGTGAGATTTCTTGGCGGCGCGGTGATGCATCTGCTCCAATCAACTCCTTACGCGTTTGTTTCTGTTCAATTAGTAACTGGAATTTATAACAAATCTGACCAGGTCAATTTCGGAAGGATATTTGCATTGCAGTATAGAGTGAAATCAGATTCATTTAAAATACTTTGGCGTCTTGAAATGTTCATTTCGTTCGTTTTAACCTTAAAGTGCAGATGGCATCAAAACAATAACTACTCTAGTGGCGTGCATCTGAAGTTACTCCAATGAAATTTTTAAGTTTACACGCCAGGGGCTCTGGGATCAAACGCAACTTTCACTCCAGGCTGCTTTTGGGTTCTTCGCCTATGGCAGCATGTACCTTGCACTCTCTGGTAATGACGGTGCCAGGGAGCTGATGTCAAGTCAATGTAGCAGATCAGAAATCACTGGAAAAGCTCAGCAAGTCTGGCAGCATCTTTGGAGAGAAATCAGAGTTAACGTTTCGGGTCCAGTTTTGAGAAAGGGTCATGGACCCTAATCATTAACTCTGATTTCTCTCCACAGATGCTGCCAGACCCGCTGCGGTTCTCCAGCAATTTCCGTTTTAGTTTCTGATTTCCAGCATCCGCAGTTCTTTCTGTTTTTATTTTGTGAAGTTAATGTGTTTTTTGAACGCATCCGATGTCCCTTATTGTAACACTTCAATGTCCCCGATTTTCCCGGGGTCGGGTATGAGCTGCTTTCAGAATGCCAAGTTCTTCCATAGTCCAACATGAATTGTATTATTAATGGGTCACAACATAGACTGACACAGGAAGAGAAATTATCAAATAAAAACCCAAAGAACTGCGGATGCTGTGAATCAGGAACAAAAACAAAGTTGCTGGAAAAGTTCAGCAGGCCTGGTAGCATCTGTGAAGGAAAAAACAGAGTTAACGTTTCGGGTCCGTTTCGAGTTCCTCAGAACTCCGGTGGTGAAGAGAAATTATCACCTGCTCATGCGTTAGCTCTGATCAGGTGGAAGATCTCAAACCTCCTTTGCATAGGACTGTTCATGTGACCATTGGTGAAAGGGAAGAAGAATAACAACAAATCTAAGGCCGGGTGAGGGAAGGGGTTAGTTGATGGGAGGGATGTGGTCACGTCCCAGATTAGACTAAATATGTGATTTTGTTGTTTAATTCCATTTTTCGGGAAGGACACAAAGAGCAGTAATACTGCCAATCCCAACCCATACAAAGGAGTTTCAGGTGTCTTTCATGTGATGGGGAAGCAGGGGCCTTACTGGGATTCAAGCCGCCGTTTGCTTCAACTAACTGGAGTGAAAAGCTGGGCCAACTGGATCCTTCTTTCTGTTTGAATTTGCCACTAAAGTGTAGTATAACTGCAGCCCCTGTGTGATGTGTCCATACAGACATTCGGCTTTACAAAAGCAAAATTTCTAGGATACATCTATCCTGCAAACACTCCCACACATTGGACCAGCTTAAAACCGTTCGTTTAATGCAGTGTCTACATTTCTTGCCTCTGTATGACGGGTATCACACTTATTCTGCCCAGAGTTCCACCCAACTATTAAAAATGTAAATATTAACTACTTTAAGTTTAGGTCAGGCAGATTTAATTGTGCCCGCGGGCTTAGTAAATCAGGTTTAACACTGCATTAGATTTGCATTCAAGATTAGCAGACGTGTAAAGTGGAAATACTTGGCATCAGCGCTAAACAGCAATGCAAATGCACAGTTAATACAATCTAGATAGGGGCAGCCCTGCTGCCTTAACGTGAAGGAATTGCTACAAGTGGTGTCTATTGGGTGTCTGCGTATATACACAGAACGCCAGCTACAGAGAGAATGCATTGAACAAAGTGTCACCTGTTGGCACTGAGA